TCATATCATTGTGGGAAAATTCTACTACCGGTCCTTCATCACCTTACACGAAATAGGGTGAATACATCTCCTTCATGTTGTCTGAGCAAACTGCGGACGCCCATCTCTGGTCGCATGCGTCATCTCAAGTGGATTTTAAGTACATTTTGGCCATAACACCGAATTTCCGTGACGTCTTGCTCATCTGTCTGCCCAGCTCCCTGACTGCCAGGCCCCCAAAGTTGTACTGGTTCATTCGAGCAGAGATCACTCAGAGAGAATGGCTTCGCTTTTTCTCATCGCGATCCCTTTTCCTCCGGTTAGCGCTAGATCCTCGATCCAGGCGTCTCCTTTTTGCTGGTCTTGCTCCATTCTTGTTCTCGCCCAATTTGCTCAAGCAGTGGGCAAAGTTATCGCTAACTCTACCCTTCTCCAATCTCATGTTCATTAGATTTTTTTCCAATAATGTCACTGTCCTCCCCAATCTTGCGCTTCCTTGTGTTGTCACCGAATGGTGTCCTTTTCACGCAAGTTATCGTCATGTCGTTTTATTATTAAGTGATTTTCTGTCGCTTTTTGAAAGTCTTCCAAATTCAGGATCCTGCTCAGATCACGCCGGAGCTTTGACATAACCACCTATCAACATAACTAGCTTATTCCTCTCCGTATCATAAGTCTCATCTTACTCAAATCTCCTGTTCATTAAATTTTTCTACCAAAGCATATCTTTCGCTTCCCGGCGTTGTCACCGTATGGGGCTCTTCTTTCTGTTGTCTTCCAGCTGATCTCATGTCCAGTTTGTGCGATGTCTTCCGCTAATTCTGATCTTTCGGTATCCATTTTCCTGCAGAGTCTTTGATGTTCCTTCATTCGTGTGCTAATTTTTCTTCCTATTTCGCCAATATATTTCTGTTCGCAGCCGCCGCACGATATGCAGTAAACTCCTGAACAATCCAATTTGTCTATCCTTTCATGTTGGTTTGGTAGACTTGTGAAAAGTGTTGATTTCTCTTTCATGACAACCTGAATATTACATTTACTCAATATTGTCTGTAGTTTATTCGTTAGTTCGCAGAAAGGTGAGAATATCCACTTTGATGAATCCTCCATCGTCCTTACTGTTCTTTCATAGTCCCCGTTCTGCCATTGGCTTTCAACGGCTCGTATGTTTCTTTGTATCACTTCGTTTGGGTAGCCATTGCCGAGGAAGATCCTCGCGAATTTGTCCAACTCCTCAACCCAGAATTAGACATCTGTCAGGAGTAGGATTCGGATGATCATGCTGCTCATCATTCCTATCTATAGCCTGTAATTGTGATGAGTCAGGAGATTGAGTATTATCCCAGCATAGGACTTCTTTCTGAAAAATTTCTTTTTAAGCATCCCATTAGAGCGAATCACTTCAAAGTCCAGGAACGGTAACCACTCACCCTCCTCTACTTCCATCGTGAATTGCATTTTTTCATTAATCTGGTTTACACACTTCAGAAACTCTGTCAGTTTTTCTCTTCCAAATGACTAAAGTGCAAAATAATCATCCAGCTACCGCATGAACACTGTCGGTTGTAGCGGTGCCATCTCGAACTTCTCTTCCATCTTTATCATGTATACGTTCGCCAAAATTGGTGAGAGCGACGATCCTATGGAAGTCGTCGACAAGACTAATCAACCTGACAAGAAGGACAACCTATTTTACATTCTACGGGAACATCTATGAACAAATATTTGGACTTCTCATGGGATCGCCGCTCTCACCACTTTTGGCCAACGTATACATAAAAATAATGGAAGACAGCTTCAAGATGGCACCGCTACAACCGGCAGTGCTCATGCGGTACCTGAATGATTAATTGGCACTTTGGTCACGTGGCAGACACAAACTCGAAGAATTTCTGTAGTTTGTAAACCAGATTGATGAAAAACTCAATTCACGATGTAAGTAGAGAAAGGCATGCGGTTACCGTTCCTGGACGCTAAAGCGATTCGCTCTAATGGAACGTTCAAAAAAAGTCTTATGCTGGGATAATACTCTATTTCCGGTACCATCACAATTACAGGCTGAAGATAGGAATAATGAGGAGCATGATCATCCGAAGCCTACGCCTGACTAGGATCTTCCTAGCGAAGTGATACAAAGAAACATACGGGTCGTGAAAAGCCGATGGTAGAACGGGGAC